AGGTCATCTCGTAACGCCTGCAGGAATCTGCACAGCGAGAGTCACCATAAACGGCCGTATTTATCCTACAGACTTCGTAGTCCTACAGCGTTGCTCGAGAGATGTCATCCTTGGCATGGACTTCTTATGCCTCCATGGTGCTGTCATCAACCTGAAAACAAGGTCGATAACGTTATCCACAGAAGAAGCACTACCGCCGCGCACGCCGTCAGGACACCATGCCTTGAATGTGCTGGAAGAACAAGTCACCATTCCGCCTCGCTCAAGCGTCATTATTTCAGTCGGCGCTCCTAAATCACCTGACTTGAAAGGCGTCGTTGAAGGCAGTCAGCATCTGTTGGTCACCCGAAATATTTGCGTCGCAAGAGGAATTGCAGAGCTGCGGGGAGGCAAAGCAACGGTTATGCTCACGAATTTCAGCAATGAGTACAAACATGTGGACAAAGGAACAACGGTCGCATACATCGAAGAAATTGTCGAAGCTACCAGTGCTTTCGTCCTCGCCGATTCTGCGGAACCTGCTCAGAGGAACCAAGCCCCTCCCATAGCTTTCGACGTCAGTCCCAGACTTCCGAACGATAAGCAAGAACAGCTCAAGGCCCTGCTCCTGCAATACGAAGATTGCTTTTCGTCGTCATCGAAAATTCGGCAGACCCCAATCACGAAACATCGAATCATAACCGAAGAAAATGCCAGACCACTCCGTCAGAGTCCGTACAGGGTTTCTACGCGAGAACGTGAGGCAATGAAGAATCAAGTTGATGAAATGCTGCGAGATGACATTATCGAGCCGTCCAAGAGTCCGTGGGCATCCCCCGTGGTGTTAGTGAAGAAAAAGAATGGGACCCTACGTTTCTGCGTCGATTATTGCCGCCTGAACAAAATCACAAGAAAGGACGTGTATCCTCTCCCACGAATAGACGACGAACTTGATCGGCTCCATAACGCCAAGTACTTCTCGTCAATGGACCTCAAGACTGGCTATTGGCAAATCGAAGTCGACGAAAGAGACCGAGAGAAGACGGCGTTTATAACACCGGACGGCCTCTTCGAGTTTAAGGTGATGCCCTTCGGCCTTTGCTCAGCACCTGCAACTTTTCAACGCGTTATGGATACAGTACTGGCAGGATTGAAGTGGCAGACTTGCCTTGTGTACTTGGACGACGTCGTCGTGTTTTCCTCGAGTTTCGACGAGCATCTTCGGCGCCTTGAAGCTGTACTTCAAGCCATCAAGACGTCCGGACTCACACTGAAGCCAGAAAAGTGCAGATTTGCGTATGAGGGGCTCTTGTTTCTGGGGCACGTTATCAGCAAGTCTGGAGTTCGTCCCGATCCACGGAAAACAGCCGCCATCGCCGACTTCCCGCCGCCCACTGACAAGAAGGCCGTGCGCCGATTTCTGGGCCTGTGCGCCTATTATAGGCGGTTCGTGAAAAACTTCGCCCGCATCGCCGATCCTCTCACTAACCTTACCAAGGCCGACGTGGAGTTCAAGTGGGAAACGCCACAGGAACACGCTTTCCAGGAGCTTAAACATCGCCTCCAGACGCCTCCGCTACTTGCCCATTTTGACGAATTCGCCGAGACAGAAATACATACTGACGCAAGCAGCGTAGGTCTTGGCGCCGTTCTTGTGCAGAGGGCTGACGGACTTGAAAGGGTTATTAGTTACGCCAGCCGATCGCTATCCAAAGCAGAAGCAAATTATTCCACAACAGAAAAGGAGTGCCTCGCCATCATCTGGGCTACGTCGAAATTTCGCCCCTACCTCTGCGGCAGGCCCTTCAAAGTTGTGAGCGACCACCACGCCTTGTGTTGGCTAGCCACCTTGAAGGACCCTTCAGGTCGCCTCGCACGATGGAGCCTGAGACTTCAAGAATATGACATTACTGTCATTTACAAGTCCAGCAAAAAACACTCCGACGCTGACTGTCTCTCTCGTGCGCCTGTCGACCAACCGCTACCCGGCGACCCGGATGACGACTACTTCTTGGGAACGATAACTACCGACGACTTCGATGAACGACAGCGGGCCGACCCGGAACTTAAGGCCCTAATAGAATACCTCGAAGGCAGGACCGCCGAAGTCCCGAAGGTATTCAAGCGCGCACTTGCGTCGTTCTTTCTACGAAACGGTCTTCTACAAAAGAAAAACTTTTCACCGCTTCGAGCTAAGTACCTCCTTGTGGTGCCTTCAGCTCTGTGACCAGAACTCCTGCAGGCCCTGCACGACGATCCGACGGCAGGGCATCTCGGTGTTTCCCGCACGCTCGCGAGGATACAACAAAGGTACTACTGGCCACGTCTTACCACCGACGTCACTCGTTATGTGAGGACATACCGGGACTGTCAGCGACGCAAGACACCGCCGACAAGGCCAGTGGGGCTTCTGCAGCCAATTGATCCACCTTGCCGACCTTTCCAGCAGATTGGTATGGACCTACTGGGGCCGTTCCCGACGTCGGCTTTCGGAAACAAGTGGATCGTGGTAGCTACCGACTACCTCACCCACTACGCCGAGACAAAAGCCCTGCCAAAAGGCAGTGCATCCGAGGTAGCTAAGTTCTTCGTCGAAAATATCGTCCTACGTCACGGCGCCCCGGAGGTCCTTATCACCGACAGAGGAACGGCATTCACTGCCGACTTAACTCAAGCGATCTTGGCATACAGCCAAACAAACCACCGCCGGACGACAGCGTACCACCCACAGACCTACGGCCTCACCGAGCGGCTTAACAAGACGATCGCCGACATGCTGTCAATGTACGTCGATGTCGAACACAAGACGTGGGACGCCATTCTTTCGTATGTGACCTTCGCATACAACACGGCGGTGCAGGAGACGACGCAGATATCTCCATACAAATTGGTCTACGGAGGAAGCCCGGCAACGACGCTCGATGCCATGTTGCCCAACGTCACCGACGAAGAAAACCTCGATGTGAGCGAGTACCTTCAACGCGCCGAAGAAGCCCGACAACTTGTGCGTCTCCGTATCAAGAATCAACAGACGACCGACAGCCACCGTTACAACCTTCGACGACGCTTCGTGGAATACCAGCCCGGTGAACGTGTTTGGGTGTGGACGCCGATACGCCGACGTGGACTAAGTGAAAATCTTCTGCAACGGTACTTCGGACCGTACAAGGTGGTTCGACGTCTCGGCCCACTTGATTACGAGGTTGTCCCCGACGGCATCACGAACTCTCAACGACGCCGATCGCGACCTGAAGTCGTCCATGTCGCGCGCCTCAAGCCGTTTCATGCACGTTAACAAACTGAAACAGTGTTTTTTGTATTATTGTTGTATTGTAATTTATTCATTGTACTTTCTTGCATTATTATTGTACCTTCATCTTTAGTTAAAGCATCGGGACGATGCCTTTTTTCAGAGGGGGGCAATGCCACGTTCCATTTCCCAAGTTTTTGTTATCGTTCCGAAACACCACACGATTCTCGGCGCAAACCGCGCCTACAGGTTTCGAGAAGGTTCCGGACTGTAGTAGATCATTTCAATAAGATCAGGCCCACTGTGCGAACGGTACAGATTGTTCTGGAACCTACGCCACCGCCAGCGATAACGCTAGAACATTCGATGGCAAGGGTATAAATGCCGACGCGCTTCGCCGCTTGTGGGTTGTTGATCGAAGGCCGACGCTGCGTTCGCCGCTATCAGTCCGAGACTGCTATCTGTGCAAGACTGCTGCTGTAATTAGACTTTCCCTTTACCGGGCACAGGTTCGCCCAAATAAACAGTTAAATCCCAACACGAAGTTTCCTGTCTTTGGCCACGTCACGACCCCGTGACAATATGTGCTAGCTAAGTCTAGCATATTAGGGAGTTGGAAAAGGTAAGAAATGTACAGGTGGTATCAAACTAGGTATGAGTTCAGTGCTCGAAGACACATGAAGAGGCGGAGGAAGGTACTCCTAAATTCTGCGAAACCCTGCTAAATCATCGTGAAGTTCGTTTACGTATGGATTACTTGCACGTAATAACCGAGGCTTCCCTTCAGCTCAGCTCTATCTTCAGAGCGTTGAGCCAGATAAATCTTCGCATAAATGCTCTTAAGCAATGCCATTACTCTGCCCACTTCTCTCGGAGTCCTCTGTCTCTCACTGCCCATTAGCAGCAATTGGCATACCCCAGTAGGAAACTCCGGATCATTACTGTGTGGTTTGGGCCTCCCGAGGTTTCTCTCCTGCGCAACGTTGCGATGAGCGCCAGCGTCGACGTCGCCGCCAGTGTAAGCGTTAGCACTCACTGCTTCGCATCTAGACATAGTTGCGTTAAACGAGAGGTGGTTGTAATTACATTATAGAATGTTTTTGTTTCTCGTCCGGTATCGTTAATAATACAACCTCATTTAAGTGATTGAAATACGTACATCGCCGAAGTCTTACTGGACACCAGCATAAAACACTTGCGTGTTAATATTGTCAGATTTCTTGGTTAGACAACACGCGACGTTGAAAATATCCCACAAGCAAGCAATGCCATTCGCAATCTTCACTTTGCGTAAAACAACATCACATATTATCTTAGTTCAGCTTGGCATCCTGCCCGTGTCTGAATGGTATGTAAAAAATGTGTGTTTTGTTTTTGAGGTTTTTTCTCGCTCTCTCCTTACCGACATATTTTACTGCTGCTTTGTGAGACCAATGAAAGTTGACAAGCGGTCAATAACAACCTGCAGTTACCTAAAGCTAGAAATATTTACGGCAAATGGCAAATAAGGATTCTCTATCTCACAGATTTCGTTCTGAAGATCACTTTTAGTTGATTTAAAATGAATAATCCTGTTTAATTTCGAAAGAAAATATTAAAAATCAGAATTTTTAATGTATGACTGATGCATGCTGGTAACTTTGCAGAAGAATATATATATATATATATATATATATATATATATATATATATATATATATATATATATATATATATGGGTGTCTCTATATTGTATATGTGTACTTAAGCATGCTCGTTTCTGATTACGCAGCCTGGTGGCCGAAGTGGTCCTGGTGGTGGACGCCATCGAAGCCAACGGCAAAACCGAATCCAGGTGTGGGCATGTTGTGCTCTTGCACAATTTGTTGCATGTCTCACAGGGACCCCGTGACTCTGTCAGACGCGCAGTTCCTAAATAAATGTTTTTACACTTTCATTAGAGATTCGTCTCAGAAGAAAAAATGTCAACTTATGGAAGGATATATGTAACCGAAATTTAGGTTACGCAAACAGGAAAAAAATCCCTCCGTGATGAGAAAATGCGAAGACACCGGAGCTCATCTCAAAAGTTATGTGTGAGATCATTTTATTCTCGATATAAACGCCTGAGATCGAACGCAGTTTGCCACCTGAGCAAGCAACCGACAGCAAGAGCCTGCACTGCCTATTACGAGCAGCGAATAAGGTGCAGTGGTCACCAAGGCTTATAGGTTCATGCTGAAACCTATACTAAATGGCTAACTAACAGCCATTCTAAAAGGCAAATAGGCAACAGCACTCCTAAGTTCGATAGTTGTTTGCGTATGTTTGGGAGAGCGAAAGATCTTTAAGACCAGTCGCAAGCAATACCTTTTAGATAGCACACCTGCACACTAAGGGCTATTACAGCATGTTAAGAGATATTAATTTCCGTGGTCAAGCATGGTGAAGATGAAAGAAGTGCCGTCAATTCTTCGATTCAATTAATGCGTTGTCATAGAGCTGAGTGTGCAGATCTTATACCTTAGAGGCGCTACCGGTGAATAAAACACTCGATTTGTGATCTATGGATTTTAGGTGCGAACGCTTTTACATCCACAGCATCAACCCTCCGTGTAAAAACAAAGGAAAGAATTATTGTGTAGTCCTTACCTTCAAGGTCAATTTTGTTCAAACTCGGTGAACCCGTGCTTCATGCCGTAAGCATCGCGTTCCAATAGAACTTAGGCCGAAGAAACCACATCGCCAGAGCCAGGCATGCACTAAGAATTACTTCTTACTGGACGTCTTCCCTACTTCGGCAAAGAACGTATGCTTTTTCACGTTCCTCCACCAGATGTCACGTAGTTGTTTTACGTACAGACCTACTGGAAGGCCGAGGAACGCCAGAAGAGCGAGGAACGTCAACAGGCCGAAAATACAAAACAAGTGAGAGCTCGGGTCGCGCGTGTGCACCAACGCTGTGGCTGGCCGTTTCTTGATGCTTCGTCGTCGTTCGCGTAGTTCCCTACAGCTTCAATGTTTATATTCGATGAAACCTATCTCATCAGTACCCCGGGTGGGGAGTGGAGGTTCGAATTCTTAGGCTCCTCAGCACCCCGCCCTTTATATACCAACGTATATTGATTGTGATGACAAAAAAGTGATGTCCTGGCTCTAGTGAGCCTTTTTCTACCCATGCAAGATCAGGATCCCTTGATCCTGCATTAATCCTACGGCTTCCAACAAAACTTCGACGAGGAGACGCTACTGTTCTGTGCAGACTAAGGTCGAGCGTCACGTTTACCGTGCGTACGCGCTCCGCATAGAGATGGACGACACCACCACCCGTGAAAACTGCGGAAATTAAGAGACAACTCGACACGTGCTGTGCGACTGCCCAGAATATAGCATAAAAAGACAACGCCTTTCTAATACACTAAATAGGTTAGATGACCAGCCGCTGTCAGAGGAACGTATACGGTACCTTTGTCTAGACTAATCATCACAGAAGGCCGCGCAAGCGCTACTGGCCTTCTTGCGCACTACTGTTACTGAATTCATATTTGATTATGTTCATTACATAAGGATTTTATGAAAGTTAGATTACCAATTCATGAATTCGCTAATGTTTTCTTTTTCTTGGAATAATAAATGATGCACCTTTCGCGAATCGTAAGTGTGCATCATCAAATTTTAACGCCAAACGGCACCTCGTACTTTTTATATAAACAGGTCTGGTCAGGCAGCGTCGCCCCTTTGGTTTTACCGTCGAGAGCTATCGAACATTGATCATTTTTACTTATTTGCCATTATTTCACAAGGCATAAGAAGAAACATTTAGAAGCTTTATTCAGAAATTTAAAAATAATACTTTTAATTTTGAAAATATCCTTTCCCTTGGGGCTTCTTTTCTAGGTCCCAGCTACAGGAGTGTCTGCGGAGTAGTTTGTGAATTTCTCAGAAACACAAGAAGGTTTCCCTGTTAGATTTTCTTTTTTTCAGCTGATGAAATTCTAGTTTTTTTGTTACCATTCGTTTATTTGTTTAAATTCATATTTATTTACCAACTTTTCTCGTAGGTCCTCTTCATATTCTTCACTTTTATATTTCCTAGTCGACTGAATAATTACTATATATTCATCAATCTTTGAAGTTCCTTTTTTTCCTTTACAATAACCACCAGCTTGATGGCCGATCCCCCGTGGTGGGTACGGTGCAAAGCATATAAGAACAAGCAAGCAAAAACAGCTGGCCCAGAGAACAGGTGTTGTCTTTTTTCTCGCTCATTACAAAGGTGCAGCTGGACAACTGAACTTTCCAGCTATAGCCATCTGCTTCCGTGGGTCAGTGGCAGTAGGTCATATCCATCTAAGGAGCGCCATCCACGCTTCCTTCCTCATGGACCCCACAACCTTACGACTGCCAGTAGAACCTACGCCACCATTTGAGGACGGTGTCCGAGCCTCCTTGGTGCCCAAAAGGCAGGATTACTCTATCGCCGTCAAGATCGTGCGCAGCCGCCTGTTGCCCGGGGACATTGTTCAGGCTTCCTCCGGCGACAACCTCCCGCTTTGCTGATTCGCGACACCTGAGTTGTTGAAGGGTGCTACCACAGCTTCACATGACAAGGATCCCCTTCATGTAAGTACAGGCATTGTCTCCTACTCCTCGTAAATCGCCACGGGCTCCACGTGCGAATCGCTGGATAGCGCCACGCAGCTACAGCATACCCTAGCACGACTCCGCTCCACGATTAACTGCTTAATTGTGTCGAGCTCTGCACTAATTCCTGTCATTGTGCCAGCATTGAGCGCCGCCGACGCTATGCTGGACGTAGCCGCCTCACAAGACCTGGAGGTAAGCCCAGCCGAGCAATGCAGCGAGCTACGGGATGCCCTCACGCAAATAACAGCCCAGGTGGGTTGCTTCGCGTTTGCGCTCTCTGCCTTGTCATCTGTGATCCCACCATTACAAGCGGCCTGTGAGATATCGGAGTTCTACGGCATGGAGAATGACTCTGACGACTGGGTGACGACCACTATTACGCGCTATCAGCTCGCAAGGATTGTACGGGCGAAGAGAAATGGTGTGTTACCATTGATCACATTCTAGATCGCACCGCGGCGTGGCACAGGTGTGAATGCGTGAGGAAGCAGTTCTGGGCGGACCTGGACACCAAGCTCATAGCCGCCTTCGGACTGATTGGCTACGACCTCACTTCAAGCGCGTATTCCAACCTCGCGGAGAAATAGGATGCAGCACTAGAAGGGCACCACCTTGAAAATGGTACTGCGCAGAGCAACGTATCGACAGCAAGCTTCTCACCTTGCTCTCATACCAATTTTGGCTGTACTGAAACGGCGCTCTTCCACGGTGTCGATGTCCGACTTAGTGCCACCATGACAAGGTGCCGAGACTACATTTTCTCCTGGGAAGTTGGTCCAGCGTAAGCCGAACTCATCTCTGTTGGTGACCTAGATATGCCGGATACACTCATATTTGGTGCGCTGTCACTCCAGACGTCAGAACAATCAAATACCTTGTTAATTCGCGACACCAATCTGGCAGATGCCTGAACATGTCTGTTTCTGATAGGGAGAGGCACCGTTGAGATAAAAACACAACCCCTGTACCTGAGTGTGGAACATGAACGGGTGGGGGAGAAGACGTACCATGTGTCGAACATGCAGAAGTTCAGTGAGGTATCACAGAAAGTGCGCAGGGAAGTTTCCCGGTCGTTATTTCTACGGCCTGCTAACGGACAAAACCTGCGCTGGGCTTCACAATGATGGCACCAAAAGAGCCACCTTGACCACTTCCAGAGCCATTGGCCGTCGATGAAACCGAATAGAGGGAGCAGCCCGTTTATAAGGCGCTTGACGAAAGTCCCGGCTATTTTTTCCGCGCTGACAATCATGCGGGTGTCGCGGAAAGGAAGCACTGAGAGGCCTTGCCAGCCACGGTGCCTCCTCGGATAGTGATCCAGCATCCTTCCTAGGGCATGCAGCATCCTCCGTTAACTCTGCAACAACGCCAAAGCCGACCACCGGAAGCATGTTTTGCGGGTAATATGGTGTCGCAGTGTGGACGAGCCCAACTACTGCGTATTAATCAGGCCCGCCCACCAGACCCACTTATCCAAGATGCACCAGCCAAGCCACAGCATCGTGAGGACCCATTTCTGCAAGGCCGCCATTATCCCCCACTGGATGTACTTTGGACAGTTCTCCAGGACCTACCACTTTCATGCTGCCAAAGCCACCCACCAGAGAAGCTCCTCGGGTCCACGTTGCAGTGTGGTCAGGACTGGCCACAACGAAGCAGCAAAACCCGCCCACCAGAAACACTGTCGGCACTTTCACGCGCGTGCAGTCATGGCCGAATGTGACGACTAAAATCGCCATCGTTGCTCAAGCCCGCGGAGAACTAGCGAAAAGGGGCAGCGTAAGGGGAAGATGAATCACAGATTAAGAACAGCTGGGCCAGAAAACAGGTGTTGTCTCTTTTTCCGGTATTTACCGAAGAAACGATTTCAAAACGACGCACCGACGAGCGAAAACATTTATTCCAGCGTTTGAGCCGGGCTCCGGCGTACACGTACGCCCGGGATAATGTCTTTGACGAAGCCAGACTCCAGTTGAAACCTTGAAACAAAAAAAAGCTTTCGCACGTTTTCGGATATCTTGAACTTTTGCAAAAATAAATATTCACAGAAACGTTTTCTGAATGTTTGCGTTTGCGTTTATATATATATATATATATATAATATATATATATATATATATATATATGTATATATATATATATATATATATATATATATATATATATATATATATATATATATATATATATATATATATACATATATATATATATAATTATATGTGTGTGTGTGTGTGGTGTGTGTGTGTGTGTGTGTGTGTGTGTGTGTGTGTGTGTGTGTGTGTGTGTGTGTGCGTGTGTGTGTGTGTAGTTTTAATTGTTTTATATCATTGTGCGTCTGTGTATTTATTAGCCTGGTATTGCCTGAAACAAAATAGTAGTGCTTGTGATGATGTCATGATTGTTTTTTTTCTTTCCAGAAAATATGCATAAAATAAACTACACGCTTTACAAAGCAAGTGAGTATGCATTTGTATATGCCCTCGACAAAGTATAGGAAAGGTGTTGCGTCCTATATATTATGGTAATGACAACTGCACTATAACACCTAAACAACAAGCAGCTTGGGCGTCTTTTTCTGCTTTATGAGTAGAACAACGCCTAGGCCTCATATGCTACCAAAATAGCAAAAAAACCCTGCTTCGTTTAAGACCAGTAGAAAAAATTGGTCATTTGTATATGCCACCATAGAAATACGAAGTTTCCACAGTTTCCTTGTTCGTAAGATGATATTCAAAACTACAGATTTACTGCCAGCGGCACCATGCCTGGAAGCCAATTTGTTGGGAATTGAAAACAGCATACTGCAAAATATGGCAACCCATCTGACAATTTTTTGTTTGTTTGTTTGTGCCAATCTTGGCGGTGGTGGTTGTACTGTTAGTTTTTTATTATAAATGCTGCAAAACGTTGCCTAGAGAGAAGGCAAGTCTTGGTGCAGCCATATTGCTTTGCATGCATTTAAATTACTGTTACCTTAAGTCGAATGAGTATATGCTCATGAAAAACACATTGCAGTTTCATTACAAAGGTAAATCAGTGAAAGCCAGAGCAAGAAAGCGAAATGCTTTACGAAGTTAAACTACCAGCTAACTGTTTTGAATCAGATCTCGCGCGAATCTACTAAATGCTGGTAAAAAAGTATGACAATATAGAAGCTGAAGTAGTTTTCATGCTGTTCACTGTATCATAATGAAGTAATAGGAGCACAACACGTACGCGAGCAGTATAGTGATGACTGTCACAATAGAGAGAGCGCCGCACGCCCGACCACGCCCTTAGAGGCATCGATTCAGAGTTACTGCAACAGCGACGCAGCGTAGCGCGCCTACCCAGCTTCGCTAAAATACAGGCGGCGCTTTTCGCTACCGCCTGGGGAACAATCAGCGCCACGCCTCGCACGATGGGTGCTGGTATCGAATGTGCTGTTCGTGTGGTGAAGATGGCTGGGTCTTTTCACTTCTACTTAATTCACTCTCGTACTAAGTGCTCGAACAAATTTACTGGCGCTTCAGCAAGACTAATAAGAAATGCAGAACGTCTTTTCTAGGCGAACTTGCAAGCGGCAAAAGAAAAGTCGGCACACAAGCGATTTTACGCCGTAAACGAATGGCTTTGATAACAATCGTCAGCCACCGAGTAACCGGTCTTGTGTGAGGTGCGTCGGATGTTTAATATACATGCGACATGGAAGATTCGATCCTTACTTCCCGTGCTCAAGTAAGCTCGCAAATGAACTGGACCATTTGCAGCCTGCGTGTACTCCTGACAGAATGGGCTCAAGCAATCTCGAAGCTTCTAAAACATTGCAGTGACTTCTTCGCCAGCCCCTCCAAACAGACTTGGCTGGTGAAGCCTGAACACGTCAAAATAAAAGAATTGTGGTGAGAAATGCCTCTGACATCGTCCCCCCGATGCTTGAAAAAGAACAGGGAAATCGAAAGTCGCATGCGTTACAAAGAAACACTAATAAACAAAGCCAAGTGATCGTCTTCGGGACCCTTAACTCACATGGAATAGCTTAAGCTGCGCGACATCAACGACTTCAGATCATGCGCTGCACCACTCGATATCGGCAGTGCCATCCACAATGATCCCGTAGTCTAGAACGCCGACATGACAAAATACATTGTATGGCGCGAAGTATCACCCAATAAGGGTTTTTGTTTTCTGACGCAATGTCAGCATATTGTAGTCCAGAAGCACTCATCGCCGTCAGGATGGTATTCTATATGGCGTCGTGGAAGGTTCAATAACGGTTACCGCTGTTATGCTGGCTTTGGATGTGTCAGCATAAGGTAGTCCAGAAGCACCCATCGCTGTCAGGCTGGTATTCTATATGGCGTCGTGGAAGGTTCAATAACGGTTACCACTGTTATGCTGGCTTTGGATGTGCAGGATGTCCTGTTGGTAGATGGTTACGTGTAGGTCTTCTTCGTCGGTGACATTGGGTAGCATGGCGTCGAGCTCAACGCCCGACTTCTTCCGTAGACAAACGTGTATGGCGGCATCAGCGTCATTTCTTGCATAGCCGTATCGTATGTTAACGTCAAGCACGTTGTGTTGGACATTGACGTACATGACGAGCATGCCAGCGCTAGCCTTATTTAGACGTTCAGTGAAGCCACTGGTCTGTGTGGTAGGCTGTGGCCCAGTGGTGGCGTGTTAGGCTGTAGCTCAAGACCACCAGTTATGTCGGCAGCAAAAGCTGTACGTTTGCCATAGATGAAGACCACCGGTGTGCCAAGATGACGACGATGTCCTCAATTAAGAAGTTCACTACCTCGGTGGCACTACGTTTTAACAGAGCCATTGTTTTGGCGTAGCGCGTGAAGTAGTCATGCATTCGACGAGCTATTTGTGTTCTCTGAGGTAAAGCAGTGCTATTGCGGTTCTGCTACTGGCCCAAATCGTGGTTTCGATGCCAGCCAGGACGTCGTGTTTTGACGAATCTGAAATGGTAGAGGCACATGTACTAACTGTGACATGTCATCGCACGTGAAAGAACACCAGAACCAAAATTCCTGTAGCCTTTGACTCCAACATCTTTGGAATTCATATTTGTGCTTTTGGGACACAAAACCACATATATAATTTTCAAATTCCTTTCTTGCTGAACTTGACGTCGTGAATGACCACGTAAGTTCATCCCACATTGCTGAAATGGTTGGTTAGCTCGTTCGATGAACTGCATAGTTCAACTGGCTTCCTTGGCGGTGTCTCCATCGCTGACGATCTCGGCAAGTCTTTAGTGGTGGGTGACGTTCGCTGCGAAACGAGTTGAGTATTCTTTTTGTATTCTCGCAAGCGTGAGAGAAATATTTACATTTTCACTTATCGTGTCACAACAGACAGCTACCAGGACCTTTGGACGTAATGCTGCACGCAGTAGGAGGAGGTAGTTCACATGAAGTTGTGATTTTTTTAGGAGACCATTCTGCAAAATACCCTGAAATGACTTCCAAACAACGCTGGCCGCGTCTATGGTGTACTTTTAAGGGTCCTTTCAGGGCCGCTCATCACTTTTCAAAATACCAAAAAATGAGGTGATACTGTCCATGCGTTCTTCAATTTTCTTGCGTACACGTGGCATAAAACATTCCATTCATATCGCTGGTGATTGCGTAAGCTTTCGATTAAAGTTGACCCGTCGCGTCCTGCGTGCAAGCTTGAAAGAGTGAGCTCAAACAACCTCGAAGCTTATAAAATTTTGAGCCGCGTTCAAAACGAAGCGTCCCCAACAGGCTTTGATGGTGCAGCATGACAACATCAAAATATTACACGTTTGGAATCATCATTTACTAAGATTTTTTACCGAGCATGACGACAACGGTAACCGTGAAGGATATTTCAGCGAATAATGTCCGTGTCACTTCTAGCTGAAGAAGGGCCTGTCACTTCTAGTAGAGCAATAAAGTGACGTGATTTCATCTGAGCACAATTTTCTGGGCACATTTGTAAATCTTACACTTCAATGAAGTTTGCTTTTTATATACAATGTATATAGACATGACGATAGACATTGTAAGGAGCTGGTAGGCTCAGGAGTTTAAACGTCACAATTGTTTTATTCCACTAGTGTACCGACCTCACCATCCAACTTTTCTTTTACCCCCAAACAAACATGCTTGCCAGAATAACTGATGAAAACCGACCATAAATATAAAATACTGGCTACGCTCATGCACATTGCTTATTACTTCGGCCTGTCGAATGGGTTGATAATGACGTTCATGATTGTGATCAGAGAATAGATGTCGGGAAAGACTGAGGAAGGTGAGAGTGGTTCAACAGCACGCGAGCAGCACTAAACATCACAGGCGTAAACTGTGTGAGTTGAAATATTATTAAGATTCCAGAACAACGTATACTATCAGCTTCGAGACTTCGTGATTATAAGAATACTCTTTTTTCGCCCAAAATCTTAGGCACTAGCTCTTCTTTCTCCTGTGCTTCCTACCATTTAGAAACACTGGACACAAGTTCAAAGCAATTTCAATTAATCACCAAGCTATTGCACTTATGTGGAAAATGTTTAATAGCGTTTACCAGGATTGCGAATAAAAAATCTCTAAAAATCTTTAAGTGCAAGGCGCCAGAATATTTGGTTTGCAACAATAAGATTTTTTAGTAGTCTTTGATGTCGTATTGGTAAGATGAAGCTCATGATTTGTTACGCCATATGTTTGCGTTGTCAAAGTTTAATACAGTTTATTACGTCTATCTCTGGTATAGACGGACAACGAGCCTTTGTAAGTTATTGTGCATATAGCAACAATGTCAATGAATTTTCAATAACATGAAATAAATTTAATAATTAATATTCTGCGCAACTACCACTGATCTAGCAGCCCCACCAATCACGTTTGAACAAGATGCTTTTTCGAATTATATTCTCGATCCCATGCTTAATGATCACAGAGGCTCGTAGCTACAAATCTAACGCGTTCTAATGCAAGGTGACTGTCCGAAATGACTGTATGAGCCACATACAATGAGTGACTCACATTTTCAATAAAGTGAAAAATGAGGCACGTAATTCTATTTTAATTCCATAATCGTTGCCCAGGCTACTACAAAATAGCTTCGTTATCATATAACAGAGCGTTCTATTTTAGGGCGCTAGATGTCTGGCAGTAGTTTTAGGCACACTGTGAGTTTTTTTATAATGGTCTAGAAAATTTACACAAATATCAACGACCTTGCCTTGCTCTACTTAGGCAATTTTAGGAACACATTTCAATACATTTGCATTGTTATATTTTGAACTACTTCATTTCTTTTTCAGAATGCGATAGCAGAATCAGCGAAATCTGCCTCTACCCTCTATGTAAGTAAACCAATTGAAACGTTTTTTTTTCTGAAATTTCTTCAAGAAAATTGCAATAGCATAATACTTACGAGAGCAGTGCATTCATTATCTTCCAACAAGACAATACTTTTAGGCATCCTCTGGAAACCCCGCCAGTCAGTATTCGAGACTCTTGCAAACAAGTGAACGAAACGTTAAAGTGCTGCACGCGCCCTCAATTGTACAATTCTGTCACAATATCAGCTAGAAATCACTCTCTTCTCTAAACCAATGATCCCGTATGCCCAAATGACCACGTAATAATCGTAAGTCCACGATCATTAGTTTGTTGGAACAGAGTAATCGCAGCCACCACGACAAACATACCTGCGCGTTAGCTCGCGAACACACTAAAAGCAAGCCGCGTGTTCGATGAAAGCAAAAACAGTCACAGTTTCGGCACCAGGTTGATGCAATGGATGCGATAGCAACACATCTGGCTGTTATACGAAGCAAGTAGACGTTTTAATCGCGTAAGTGATATTGCAACTCATCTGGGGCAGTGAGTTGAGTTTGTACGTCTAAATTGATAGTGGCGGTGCGAGTTTCGGTGGCAATGGAATTCACAGGCATGACAGGACCAGCAGCTTTTTTAATAGTGCTGGAGATCTAGGAACCATACGAAACGTAGTTAACATGGTCGATTGGACTTAAACTGAGGATAATGCAGTAACCACAATATCAAAGCACATGTTGTGAATAGTTGGCTGCATGACGTCCGACAGGAGACAAAGTCCAAGTTCGGCCTTGAGAAACGAGACAATGCACTGGTTTTCATGTCGAAGTGCATTAAGATTGATGTCTCCAGTGACTATCGCCAGCACATCTTGTAGGCACACCACACGGAAGTTGTGCAGCAATCGTGACGTTCTTCCTGAGAGTTCTTGGTGAGACAACGCGTGATGTTTTAAGGGTGAAAGCGTCACCACAGCTCATCTGGTGCAGCCAATTGTGTTTGTCCGTCTTGAGTGATAGTGGCGGTGCGCATTTTGATGGGAACTGAATCCACAGGCATGACAGAACCAGCAAATTTTCAAAGAGTCCTGGACTTGATGCAAGGAACTTGTCCTGTTCCTTTAGAAAATAGAGCTAAAGACTTTTTCGATTGCCGCTTTCATCCAACTGCATGAGCTAGCTTCGTGAACCCATTCCTCAATTGATGAAGCCATAGGACACGTCGATGTTTAGGAAAAGCATGTCTGGCTTGTCTAAACGAAGTGCTTGTTTTGTTCAAGAATGTTCCTTTCAATTCCACTGACAATAAGCCAATGATGAATGGTGTATATACATAACTCGTCGTTAGTGAGATGCACAGTATGAGTGGCATGGCCTAGTTGGTTAATGCAATGCGCTGAGAAACGAGGCGCCACTGCTTCTAATAACCCGTAGGTTCCTTGGAATATTTTCTTCTGAATCAGTTTCTTTTGTTTATTTTATTGATATATACATACATATACGGGACATTATGGCAACGGTAAAAATGAACCATGAGTATCCATGTAATTTCTATTGCAATAAATGTGGTCAAGGTTGTGGCACGCCCTGAAAAAAAACGCATATCTTACCCCCTTGTGAGCCCCCTCTATTGACGCAGCTTTCAGATTACTCAAGGGTACATAGACAGAGAATAAGCACTTGAAACGTGTGACAAATATTTGCAAATTCGCTTGCACTTGACAGAATGTAAACTGTTTCGCCGCAGCCTTTACGTCAGAGTAGAAACTCTCTGATTGAAGCCATTTACTTAATATTTGGAAACGCTTTCTAGGATATTAGGCTGACAAAGCCGTTCAGGTTTTGCTTAAGCCACGCTGTGTTTACAGGACACCAGGCCCAGCTTTTAAGTAACCAAGTGACACCAATATAGACTTAGCAGAGCTGTCTATTTAAGTACAATGATACGCAGATAAAGAATGAGATCCTAATTAGGTTAAGCTAGTTGGGCGAAGTGTTTTTGTCATTATTATTTCGGAAATTTTCGGTGAAGTAATTTTGAATAAAAACTAAGACAATGCAAAAGTGTTCCAAAAATCCTGCGAGTTCATAATTTAAAAATATACTTGGACTAAACCAAAGAAAATATAACAAACTACACAAACATTTCGCCACCTATGTGTGTAGCATCCTCAGTATGCACTGGCACCAAATAAGTGAAGGTCACCTAATCTAATTCTAGGCTCGTATGTCTTTGTGCGCATCTGGTAAGAGGCCACGGTTGTTTCACGCCGTCTCGTTGTGGCGGATGAACCACGACTCGAGAAGACATGTCTAAGTGAACACAAATTAGGTCAAGTGCAACTCAGCTCAGCTTAACTTGGGCCTGGTTAGCTAATCAAAACCTAATTAAGTAAAAGCTAATTAGGCCAACAAAAAGAGGTGTGACCGAAGAAGTACCGAACTCTAGAAATCGAAAGTAGCTATCGCACACAGACCCAAATTACCACGCCGAAGCTGCTACTGCGAAACAAAGTTGTAAGTAGGTGATTTCAGCTTCCATGTGCATGAAAATCAACAAAGAATTCAGAAAGGCAAGTGCGTCTGAGAAAGATTCTTAGGCCACCAGCTTCGCAAATTCCGTAATTGTCACATCTTTGGTGCATACTGTGGTGCTGACTCTAGACCGGCAAAGCCTTACTTTATGTGTGAACCATAATGACTTCATCAAAACGCAGATTCTCAACTTTATTCGGGGGCCTTGTAAATAACATGGTGATATGGATGACGCTGATGATGCATGCGACAGCGGCGTTACCAAGGAGTTCTAATATCACTTGAATAATGTATGACATTCAGCAAACTTCACGCTATGCACCTTCACTACCAAATTCCTCTTGTTAATCTTTATTTCATGTGTGAATAGCAATACCAAGAACCGAAAGGTGTTTAGAGCAATGGATAGTAGCCTCAGCGTATCAACGTTGTACCGGTTCAGAAAAACAATAGCAAAGAAAACATTTTTTTCCTACATCGTGCTTCGTATATCAACAGATGAAGACAATTTTTCGTTTAGTCTGCAGCACATCTTTTAGGCATTTAGAACATTTCTTTACAACGTTACTGAAAGGAAACATTCAACCATATCTTGACTCAGGCAGCATGACTTGCAAATTCAGGCAGCATCTTTTGCAAACATATAGACTTCATTTTATCTGGTTTGAAGATGCCTGTGTAATTCTATTTATTTACTTTCAGTATGCCTTTGCCCGAAGTATGATGTGGACGGATACGTCCGCACAAAGTACGACCGTTGGTACTACAATACTACGACGAGTCGCTGCGAAAATCGTACGGCTGTAGCAGGCGGCTGTAACGATTTCGAGACCAGCGAACAATGTGAGACACATTGCTCCAACGCTACCAAACGATCAAATGCACTTTGGTCTCAAGAACAACAAAAGGCTATATTGGCTAAGAAATTTTGAAAGCGCTATTCCTAGGAAC